TGATTTATTTCTGATTTTTCTTCACTAGAGGGTACTTGCGACCTTGTCATAAGCGTTTGAGCCGCATAACTCGTCATCAAATTTGAATGCGGGCTCAGCCTTTAACCACGGACTAACTGTATGTTTGTGGACACGGAATTCGCCATCGCAATGAAATTTACTTCAGCTCCACTGATTTTGAGTTAATACGACCAATGCATTACATACTCGGTGAACTGAACACATTTCATATCCATCCTAATATCAATGGCAACAAACTGTATTTCACAGCGGAAGTAATTGTTCATCGCTGTGATTACAAAAAGAAGCAGCTACGCAGGCTCATCCGACCCAACGGGAAGCTCTCCACTACTGTTTCCGGTGTGCTGGAAGAATTCTTTACTACGAGCTGCGGGGGCAAAAAGACTTTTTCTTCCCTTGACCTTCGGAGGCGCTATAAGTTACACTTTATTGAATTCTTATCGGACATTTCTACCACCATATTAAGAGCATATTAAATACTATCATGATGCTCCGCCACAGCCCTCTGCGGGAGCGCCATCGAAAGATTCAGTTCAAGTGACCTGCTTAAATATTCCATCTTTTTCAGGGGTACTCAACACCCTTCCATTCCAAGTAGGCGAGAGTTTTTCCAACGCCCTTCGATTCCATGTGGTGTCACCCAATCCTGTAGCAGTACAAAGTTTCCAAGAAGGTACGGGCGACACATGGTGGGAGGGCATTCTTCTCAAGTTGCTCTATGTAAATGCTCCACACTAGAAGTTTCGCAGCTGTTTGGAGGTGACATGAATTCCAAAGGTCTTCTCCAGTCATGACTTCATATTTTGGTGTACATGAAGGTGATGGGCGAGAGCCAGCTCCTGCTTATCGAGGAACATCTTGGGTATCTTCCGCCCTGGTACTCGTATCCACGTCCTCTGTCTGGGCTGCGAAAACTTTGCTGATATGTGACTCGGTCGAAGTGACTTTTTTGCCCCCCCCTGTATGTTATGTTACGCCATTCAGCTTCAGAAATTCCAGGAGCTATTTTATAGACCGAAGATCGTCATTGTCCCTACTTCGTGATAACCCCAAGCAATCACATGGCTAAACGAACCTACCAAAATCGAGGATTTGGTTGGGGAGGCCATGTACCCTCCAACATATTTTTCTGACATAGTTCCCTTGTTCCACTTTTCACAGGCTTTGTTGTCTGAGAGCTCTTCTGCAAGAATTGACGACTTAAGTCGGACATGCCGGCTTCTTCGACTCCCAGTGTCCCAGCTCTGAAAAAAATTAGACTGATGACCTGCCCAGAGTGTGATTGCAGTAGACAGTGACCATGACCACAGTTTCTGGTCAATTCATATCATGCCGTATAAAAGGGAAGAAAAAAGCCTTACCATTAGTATTGCATAGTGCTCGCGCGATGGCATTTCTTACATGAATCTTCGTGTGAGAAGTGGAGATCCCCACAGTTTGTTCTGTTCGATGAATTGCTCCCTGTTCTACAAGGCAGTCTGTTAAGCTCTCTATTCCCTCCCAATTTTTTAAACTCTTTGGTTCAAATATTTGGCACCTCCTTTTTACAGTCAGTCCAGGCGCGCAGACCGCAGAAGCAGCTTGAAACGCGACGATAGACGGATTGAGGTTGATTCATCCATCCAGAGCGTGTAGCTTTTGGCGTCGAGCCGATGATGTGCAGCGAACTAATTAGTAAGCTTCCTATCAAACTCAATGAAACAGCCAGCGTTGTGCTAGTTTAGGAGATTGAAATCAAAATCTTTGGATCTTTTAAATCATTTTGTGTATTGATAAGACACATCCCGTTTGGACCGTATACCTCACAATAGGGCCTGCGGCTTCAGCCTTGTAAATAAACACAGAAGTGAGAGTTGGTCGTAAATTGTCAATTCTGTCGACCTGACACTCACTTTGATCATTTTAAGCACATGGGAACTAGTCGGAATAGATCCCCGAAGAAAATAGGGATACGTTCCTCTTCATTGGCGAAACAAGTTCATGATTATGCTGTTCAGAACTTTTCCCCTGTGCTTTCATTGAGGAAAGCTCCATGATCATTTCGCACATTACTGGCATCCTAACTCGAGTAAGAGTGGAGCGCTTGGCGAAGCCAACCCAGCCGCTGGGGGAGTGCACTCAAGAGAAGCGACAGTTGGACTGTGCGAATGGTGACGATATATAGACAATGTGGAAGGATGTTATCACGAGAACATCGTTAGCCGTCGCGTATCCAGCCCGCCACACAGCAGTCGCACTCAGTCTCTATTGTGGAATTGTTCATGTATCGAATCTTCCTGCCTTGGCACGAGCAGCGTGTCGGCTGACTACTGAACTATCGAGTACAACTTTATGACAGAGATGGTTATTATTAACCGCAATCGAAACATCTGATACACCTGACATCTGATTACCATTTTTCTATTTTCCTGTAGCCTTTTCCTCCCACCCCAGCCCTTATCACAACCTCAGAGCATTTTATGCATCAATATATTTACTTACACACATACATAGACATCTAGAGCTGGCCCATTAAGGGCGTTTCCTTTCATACACAATTTTCTAATGAGAACCGTTTCTTGTGTGTTCTAAGCTATTAGAAAGATAATTTGAGGCTTGCATGACTTCCTTCTGTCTATTGAGATCTGCCAATTTTAGTCTATTGAAATGCAGGGTTGGGTCGGAACAAGTGTGATTTGACGAAAAAACTTTGCATTTTATCTCGGCTCTTAAATTGCACGTGAAGCTTAAAACTTGTGGTATATGACGGCAAGAAAAGATGATCCTATGGCAGCTAGAAGTTGGTTCAGACGATGAAGGCAGATGGTGCTAGTTCGGACCTTGTAAATGCATCACATGCGGTACCCTACTGGGGAGCGACTACTCGCAGAGGTTTTCCATGAATTTTCAAACGTCCAACATTGGCTCAGGGTGATGCATGATTACGATGAGGAAACACTAACGATTGCTATCCGTGGCAAGAATTCCCCCTGAATAAGGTGATTTAGTAGGCTCTTCGGTGAACTCAATAAGGTATAAGGTTC